GGGCTTCTTCCTACACGTGCTGACCGCTCGTCACCATGCCAGAAACGCTTACAGGCAACGAAGGCTGCATGGCCTGCCGTTTGACCTGAGCGCGTTTCATGCCTGTCGACCCGAGAAGGCTGATGTCCAGCTTTTTCTGCGGCATTTGCTGGGTAATCCGCGCTTGCGCTGAGGTATGCTGCCAACCGCTTGCTTGGGATTATCTTCCGGTTCGAAGTTTATTGCCTGTTGATAGGTCCCTTACTGTTTCCGCAACGGCGAACTGGCGAACGCGGGCAATCACGGTAGATTGGATGGATTCTCCCACCAAGAGATCCCCGATTCCCTTTGTTGCGGTGATAACTTGGGATGTTCGCTTGAGATGCTGACATACACTTTGGTGCAAAATAGCGCTGCAGCAGGGCATGCAGCCATCTTCATGATCCCACGTCCAACCGCGCCGTGATCTGTGACGTTGAACATGCTGAGGGCGAGGCGCTGTATGTCAATAAACGTCTAAAAGTAGCCGTCCGAGCTTTTCACGGTGTAAAAGGATGGGTATCGCAAGAGAAACAGTCACAGGGCTTCCGTCATGAATGTTCATCCATTTGTGGACTAGTACAGCTCCAGAATTATCGTCTTTCAGCACGTAAGCAGTATGTTTGGATTTCTTATGAGATCATAAATCTGGCAAAATGAATTCTATCGGGATCCCGGTGGCACCCTAGACGGAAGCAAAGATTACAGTCCTGAAAAGGTGATATCAGGGACCATGGCTTACTTTGGTGATGAATGATATAAAGGAATTGCTTCTCCATCTTTGTACCTTACGGTACACAAACAGGCTGCGACATTCGGTATTGCAGGCACGCCAACACGCCTTGATAATGTGCCCAAGCAGCCAGGACGACGCAGATGTGAAAAATTTGATGCGAAGCTAACAAATAGTCGAAACAACCTGGCGCAAGGCGCTCTGGGACGCGGTTGGCACTAAAATGAAAAGGAGGTGACGCAATTGTTAGAGGAATGCTCCATTAATAGGATCAACGCCATCACGGAGATCATGGTGATCATGAAACGAGGTAAGGCGAACGGATGTACTTACTAAAGTAACGCGCCGACGATATATAGAGCGCCGGATGCCACCAGCCAATCAACACCCATCTTCGACACGAGTTCATCGAAGGGGTGTGTCAGAAACATATGTGACGTTGGCACGATAGCGCACAAGCCGAGACCGATAAAGACCGCTGTGCGAGCTCCTCGGTGCGTCGGTTTAGCGTATTCGGGGTTGAGCACGATGTAAGCCGCACCTGTACGTCACGATGGTCAAGGCAAATTAATTAAGATCGTCGGGCGACATACCCAATCCCGCCAGCGATATCAAGCTCAGATAAAACTTTTGAATATGTGGATAGCAGTAAAAGCCATAGTAGATTGACGGGAAGAATGATCCAACGATGAGAATAATGATGCCGGAGTAGTCGAAGGCGTGGCAGGATGAAGTAACCTAAACCGAAGGTTAAACCAAAAGTATGACGACGACCACGCCGAAACCGAACCTCGTTCGAATGGCACCCCGATGTGTGGTAGAAAGCACTTGCTGCAAGGCAGAACATCGCCGATGACAAAAAAATGCCAACGACCGCAACATCTTTCCACGTCGAGATGGCGTGAAGGTCGATATATGAATCGTAATAGGTTGAGAGAAAATAAGCGAAGAGAGCTGAGCCCCACAGGTGGGTATGAATGTTGACTGGGGAATGTTTGGTGTTTAGTAGCAGGAAAACCTCATGAAAGAAACGCAGGAAACACCTGTTTCGTTGTGGAGATCTAGAGTTTGCGTGAGAACGACAGTGACAGGAAAAGTAAAGGCAAATTTCGTACAGGTAAATATAGAGGACACGCAACCGTACCAGTGGTATTGGATCCTGTATTCATTGTTTCAATATGAGTTTGCACGGCGCGCCTGTCGACCAATTGACGGATATGGGCAGGATGAAACGCACCGTCGGTATCCATAGAGAATGTACTCATTATCCTTCTGCCAGTCCTCCAGCTCGTCCCAGTGGATGGTCTTCGAGTGCGTAGGACTGCGTTTCACAACTAGTTCCATGGCTAGCTGCTCGACAGTCTCGACTTCCTTTCTAGTGAATAGATCCTGAGGCACTGTCACCCGGCGCGATAGCTGCGAGACCATCGGAATAGAATGGGCGGGTGTGAGACGGAATTCGATATCGAGAGAGATGGGAGGCGGTGAGAGACTCATGGAGGAAATGGAGATTGGGCGACCATTTTTTGGGGAAGGATAAGAGGCATGTGTAAACGCTGCTTCGGTCATACTTCTCATTACGTAAGGGCATGTCAACTACGCCTCGCGAAGTTGGAAGTGTCGAGGTCAGACGTAAATGCTTGGTTGGTCGCTTGAACCAAGAAATATAGAGTCAGTCGTCGTCTATATAGAGACGCTTCGGCTGAGACAAAGAGATCGCAACTCGAAACTCTGCACAGCCCTAGAACGATGCTCCCAACTTTAGAATAAGAATAAGAAAGAGGACATCGGATGTTGAAGACTAAATCCCGCCTGACAATACCTAAACGCGTCGGTCTTCTCTGAGATTGCATGAATGTAGGACGGTGGGTGCGAGGTTCTCAAAGGGAAGTGAGATAATATGAGTATTATTGGCTTCTGCATACCACATGTAACATGAAGACTCAGATCGCCATCCCCTCCCCCACCCATTCAGTGTGTGATGTCCAAGGACAGGGTTGAATGGTAGCTGAGACCATCTGAGAATCACGGTCCCGAAGCTACCCCTTCTCCATGGAGGTATATACTCGTCATTCGGGCCACCTTAAGCTCGTGGACGGTGGGTTTGCCCGTCTACGAATATGTCTGCCTAAGCATTGACATGGTCAGATAAGCCGGAATCGGGGGAGAAATAAACATGGGATATCTTCAATCATCAGTCGTTCACGAGGTGAAGACTCTCGAAGCCTTTCCATAGATCATCCGCAGGAACTTCCTTCGGCCGCGCGCGATAAGGACCAACTTCGATCGGTGGTGGTGGGGCCGTCCAAAGGCGTTCCCAATCGACGACCAACCAAAGCGCTGGCGACGTGCCTGCGCCTGCGCCAGACGTGGTCTTCTCTTCGCTCCCAACAAAGAATGGATGTTGCCGAATGGCCTTCGACGACGACTTTGGTGGAACGCCCAAGCGTTCAAGTGGGTCAAGAACCTAGGAGAACACCGAATTACCCCTGCAACCTTAATCACAAATTTACGACGAACCAATAGTGCGCGTATCATATCTGCCGCGCCTGTATCACAGACATCCGGTATGGAATAGTCGAGCGCCCTTACTCGTTTCATGGTGAGGTAGTCAGTTGCCGCCATAAATGGCGAACTCCCAAAGAGGAAGAAATATAGAAGACAGCCAATCGCCCAAATGTCGGGACTACATGGACATTAATGAGACCGGTTCTTGACGAAACAAAGTACTGCATGCCTTCTAGGATTTACTTCAGATCTAGCCAGAAGTTCAGGAGAAATGTAGGCGGCGGTGCCGACAAAGGTATTTGTTCTAGGCGCTAGAGTAGAAAAAAAAATCAACGACATCCGGAGAAGAGAAAGACAGGTTCGACTTACTTTCCATGTTTGCTCCGACATATGCGCACCCAAAGTCGGCCAGCTTGATACGCATCTCGTCGTCGAGGAGAACATTCTCTGGCTTGATATCCCGATGTGATATTCCCGACTCGTGCAGGAATTGGACAGCGTCGACCACCTGGGCTGTATAATATCTTGCACAATTTAACGAAATGGACCCCAATTTCTGGACGAGCATTTTCAAGTCGCCGTTCGTAGCCAGATCCAGAACGAAATCTGAAAATGAGAAACACGATAGTCTTATAGGTAGGACAACTCACAAAGATGATCTGGGTCATGGAAGCAATGGTGAAGGCGGACGACCCCAGGATGGTGATAAGATTTCTTCCCTAGAGCAATCAAGGCATTTCTTTCTGCATGGACGGAGGCGATAGCTTTCTTCTTCGCCAGCTGGCCTTTGTTCAGCACCTTCAGGGCATAATGTCTTCCGTTTTTCTTGTATATGACATCTATAATCTATTAAAACGCAAAGAGTTAAATGAAAGAAGTAGGGCAAGGAATAGGAAAGGTACCGTGGCCAAAGAACCCCATGCAACCTCTTCCTGTTGCTCGAAATCGCTAAGGGACGGTGGTTCTGCTTTCTGCTGAGTTGGGGTCGGTTTACTTTCTTGAGGCATATTGTTGTTCACAAGGTCTGTCGCGTGCATTGGTGTACTACGGACGAGCCTTATCGGGATCGGGCGTCGCCAGAGGGTAGTTGGTGTCAAGTGGATGATGGTATGAGGTCAAATGAGAGATGAGGTAAGCGTCCTGGTGAACGGTTGCTTGGCTGACCAAGGTCGTCGAGGTATCGAGCTTACCGGTAATTCTTGGGTAGTTCACGTATATTTTACTGAGATGCTTCAGGAAGGACTATTTCATACTCGAGCATACAATGGAGGACCAGACGATTAACAGGAGAACGGGCTCCAGTGAAAGGTAGAAGTGTTACAGTCGAGGAGATAAAATAAACTGTACACAGTAAGATCATGAGATAAAAACCTTTTTCAGTTCGCTGAACGCGCAAGACTTCCCAGTTCGCGGGCAAGTCACAATACCGTCATTCCTGGCCGCCATGTCTTCCAAAGCCTAAAAAGGTGCTTGTCAACGGCTAGAACACATCTTCAACTTTTAGAGTTGCCCACCTCCTTGGAGTACACGTCTCCATGTGGGAAGACCATCGGCATATTATCTTCGTCCATGATTTTCCCACTTATTCGACAGACGATGGTAGAATTCGCATGATGGCTATAAGGAACCTCTGCTGCCAGTTTACCGAGTCCAAGCGATTGTGAACCGGTTCCAGACTCGCCGTCGCACACCGGACAATCGACATTTCGGGTAGAATGGTCGAAGCATGCAGGCAATTTCAACGCAACTAGGCCTGCATATAGCGAAAGGTGGAGTAGGGGTTCAGTGGAAAGTGTATTCAAGTTGTAAATCGCGAGCCGAAAGGATTTCGCAAGGCTCTTCCACCTGGAAGGGTCATAGAGACGCTGAAAGAAATGATAAGTAAATGCAGCTGCTCACACATTCATGAGAATTCCTCACTTTGTAAGGTGGGCAAGAAGTATTTGGTGGAAACGCCAACAAAGCCGCCAGCTGGCGTATTTGAGGAAGATGCGTCTCCTGCCATGCGATTAAATGCTTGTGCGAATAAGCAATCGCTTCCAGTGTGTTCCTGTTTCGCGACAGTTCTATGTATTCTTGCATTCGAAGGTCGAATTCCAAGGTGCTCTGGATATTATTGCCGTCGTAGGCAAGTAATGTTAGGGATCAAAAAAGTTAAAACACTACCTTAGCTTTGCGTAACGCAGTCTTGTTCTCACTACACCATGCCAGTGCTTCTGTGCAGCTATGTCGGGATAAAGCATCCTCTATTCGACGAATATCCGAGAACAGGTCGATGTCGACGAGAGTCTGGGCACGACAATTAGCAAACAGAAGGCGAGACGCGTTGCATAGCGTACTTCAATCCTCTTTTCCCTGGCGATGGCTCTTGCCGACTTCTCCTTTCCTGTCCTAAGGCACCAGTCAACAAGCCACCTGTCCAGACGAGTGTCCGCCCATCTCGAGAACTCTGGCTGGCTCGTATTCTGGACGGATTCCACGGTAGCCAAATGGTGGAAGCGTTCTCGCATAACTTCCTGAGTTGGCTTCCCTGCACTTTCATGAAGGTCCGACAGCTAGGCTTCTGTCAGGACGAAAGTAGATCTGGGACTGGTGGAACACATACCTTCCGCTTCAGGTTCTCCACCCTTCCTATCATGTTGTCTATCGATTTCAGGGCATCCTCCGCTGTCAAGGACCCATCGGCGGCGCTGGATACCAGGTCCTTTGAAGAAGTTTGTACCGCTCCGAGCTCGCGTTCGACATTCTTCTGTTGAGTACGGAAGATCTTGCGGTAATTCTCGTAAGGGACCTAGTATTCAGGATACACGGTCAACGATTCATAACAAAGGGGTGCTGACGACAGACCTTGGCGAAGGGTTGCTCAAAGAGCATGATACCTTCCATGTTCAACTTGCTGCCCATGCCTTTCCAATAATTGGAATATCTGCGGAGCTAAGTACAGTCGTGCATGAGGTGAGGCCTATCACTGTCAGCGGCGGACCGTGTACAACCGTCGATCACGTGAGAACGAAGTGGACCGGAGTTGTCCGAGTCAGCCCTTGATATGACAGAGCAGAGTGGCGCATCAGCACAAACTTGGACCCAACTTGATTCCAACCTGCAGCGTACCTGGCCTGGAGCTCAAAAAATCTTTTCTGAAGTACTTCCTGGTATATGCTGTCTCTAGCGGCCGTCCTCTAAGGCCAGAACTATCTAAGACTAGCTCCCTTTCTTCGTTTCATCAGGAAAACACAGTCTGCAGCGATTTTCTCGTCCCTCGGCGATCCCTTTGAAAGAACAAAAAAATGTCGCATGTGACTACCCCTCTCCATAAATTTAACTCTGTTGCTGTCGATCGGAAATGATCGTGCTGCTCTGGTAAGACCGGACATGCTATTGGAATTCTTCTGGGAATGTTTGCTGCGCTGCTCATCTCAAATCTCTGGCTTCGGAACACAGGAGAATATTTTGGGACATTTTGGCGTGGTCCTTGTTTCCTTACTACCGTATTTTGGTTTAATTGGGACCCGCAGCGCGTTCTCCGAACAGGTTCTTAAGCTTTGGGATCGACATCTCGCCGAGTCTCCCGATGCTTCCCTTCCATTTTATTCCGAGCGGAATTGAAATACACCTCTGTTTGTACAAGCAAACGGTGCTATGCTCTACTTGACAGTCGAAACTAGGATTCGTTACGAGGTAAAATCCCCGATTCATCTTTTGCGCTTTCTGAGAAGAAAAAAAATCTGAACATCTGTAGATGGACCGAATCTCTGGTGGTAAGGACCGTTCTCATCGCCTGCCGCTCGTTGGACTCGTTCTAGACCACTGACTTCGTCTGGAGAGCACTCTCGAGGCGTCCGCACGTAAATTGGACTCTTGCCGCACCCAAGGTGCGGGTTGATTATCTTCGTCTGCTTGAACACGAGGGCACGCGCTGATTTCGGCTCGGATGAGCTCTCGAATCCAGACCGATCTCTTTACGACGGCAGCAACCTCGCGACACTGGAGCTTCAGTATTCAAGGATCGGACGTTAATCTGCCTCGGCCAAATATTTTTCTCTTCCTCCTCACCCCCTGGAACAAAATGATGGAGACCGAGACCGCGTTTCGTCCAATGAACTCGCGGCTTTACTGCATATCAATGCACGAGGCTTGAAAACGCGACGACGAAAACGAGGCTTTTCTGTATGACTTTCGGATGACTCATCGGTCTAGATTTCCCGAGGGCCTTCAATATGAAAGACTTGCTCTCTGGTGCGCAAACATACACGGAGGCCTAACGAACCACCTATGTCAGAAAGAATTGGTCACCCTTCGGCGCCTGCTTGGCATGCCAAAGAAGGCAACTCGCTAACGTCAGTTTGGCGCCCCCGCTTCCCTCGGATGCCTTTTTCAATTGTTGAAACAATCATACCAATGCGGTGAAATTGCGCCCATTTTATTCTGGAGAATATTGAGCTACGCCCCCGACTTGCGTGTACCTCGAAACACCGGCGCCGATGCTCCTAAACCATGCTTTCTGTGGCTCCCGCTGTACCATGCCCGCGCCCATCCTGAAACGGCAACCCTCCGTTCATATTTTCGGGCGTTTACGCCACTCGTTGATCCCTTTCAGCCCGATGACAGGACAATGCCCTTGCCCTCGTACCTCATTTTGCACCGTTGTCTCCAGCTGTCACAGACGGAGCCCGCCAGGCTGACGCTAATCTATGTAAGTAGAGCATTCTGGACTTGGCACTGCGTGCCCATTGCGAGACATATGGAGGAAGAGAGGCCGTTATGGAGCCTGCATGGTCGATTCAAACTCTTGCTCGGGATTGCACTTCTGCAATCCAAGATACTTGGAAGGAGACTATGCCGAACGGGATTGTGGTGTTGTCTGCTGGATCCGAGAACGAGAGAAGGACATCGATATTTGCATTGTCGTGACCTTCAAGTCTTCCAACCCAAGAGAATGGGGCTAAACTCGGATGCTACCATCCGGGCATCGCACCTCATTTTCCGGAAAGCTGTGGGCTCAAAGCGCGCTGGACAAAAATACTTGCGTGTGATGGACACGACAATTATCGACGCCGACACCACCGAGACCAGGTAATGAGCAGTTTATTTCGTTCATGACACTGACAGGCGACATCTTCTACACAGCACAGGCTGCTTGGAACCCACGTCCTGCTGCGTAGGATGTGCGGTGAGCTGTCGTGATAGCCTCACGACAGAAAATAATCGATGATGGATCTGCACACCTCTACCTTCAACCCCATTCACCCAGATTTCTGGCGTCTACCTGTCCGGCCGGCTGCTGTGTCCCATTGGGCATATGGCGGCGACAATGTATAGGTATGACTCGACCACGTTTTGACGGTCGTATTTTGATCAAAGGCTTGTGAATACAATGGTGTATGTGGCCAGTCGGCACTCCGAGTCGGTGTCCTGGCACATCCTAATTTCCGTCGGTCCTCGCGGCCAGCGGTTAGCACCGAAAAGTCGCAAGGAGTCCTCAATAAGTCGAGAAATCTCGATCCTCTGGGTCGCGGCTTCAAAATGCAAGGAAAGGAACATACGGCGCAACAGATCGCCGGGACGAAGCAGTTTCAGTTGAAATAAACAGAATGCTTCGAAAACATGCGAACAAACTACTCTGGTAAGGT